AGGAAGGAAGGAAGGAAGGAAGGAAAAAACTGTACCAAAACCAGGTAGGACCCATCACACATGTGGCCTCACATATAACCCTAGATAGAAAGGGTATTCTATTCCACAGTTGGCACAAGTGAGCACACACAAATCCAAGTAGAAATAGGGTACAATAAAATAATAAGCAAGCTGAATGTTCCAAATGAGAGCTCACTGCATACTCAATCCATTATCATCTAGGAAATTAACATTTTATTAACAAAATTAAATCCTTAATAATTAAATAACGATATTAGGAAAATTTACATTTCTTAAAAACTGCCTAGCCTAGCTCAGTATGACAGGATGATGAGTTGTGATGACATTGCAGACCATGCAAAGCTTTAAGCACATACCACATCCAATAAAGAAAACTGAGTTACAAAAATAAAAATCTATATTAAAACCCAGAAATTTACATGTCTGATGACATATAAAAAGGGACTCAGCATAATGATCACAAGGCTCAGGTTCTTTTTTTTTTTTTTTTAGGATTTTACTTATTTATTCATGAGAGACACAGGCAGAGGGAGAAGCAGGCTCCCTCTGGGGAGCACCATACCAGACTCAATCCCAGGACCCTGGAATCACCACCTAAGCCAAAGGCAGATGCTCAACCACTGAGTCACCCAGATACCCCTTAGTATACTTTGTCTTAACATCCTGAGATGGGTGTGTGGGTGGCTCAGTCAGTAAACATCCGACTCTTGGTTTTAGCTCAGGTCATGGTCTGAGTCGTGGGACTGAGCCTCACCTCAGGCTCCATGCTCAGTCCCTCTCCCTCTGCTGCTACTCCTGCTCTTAGCTCTCTTGAATAAATAAAAAGGGGTCTTAAAAAATCTTGAGATGGGGACGCCCGCCCGGGTGGCTCAGCAGTTGGGCGGTTGCCTCTGACTCGGGTTGTGATCCCGGTATCCGGGATCGAGTCCCGCATCAGGCTCTTGCGAAGAACCTGCTTCTCCCTCTGCCTGTGTCTCTGCCTCTCTTTCTCTCTCTCTTTCTGTGTCTCTCGTGAATAAGTAAATAAACCTTAAAAAAAAAATTCTGAGATGAATACAGAGGTCATTAATTTTTCAACATTCTGGGGATCCCTGGGTGGCACAGCGGTTTGGCGCCTGCCTTTGGCCCAGGGCGCGATCCTGGAGACCCGGGATCGAGTCCCACGTCGGGCTCCCGGTGCATGGAGCCTGCTTCTCCCTCTGCCTGTGTCTCTGCCTCTCTGCCTCTCTCTCTGTGTGACTATCATAAATTAAAAAAAAAAAAAAAAAAATTAAAAAAAATTAAAAAAAATTTTTTTCAACATTCTTCTTTACTAGTTTATGCATTTATAGCTATATTATTTCCCTCAGGTTCAACTTTAGCAACACCACACATTTTGATATGTGCATCTGAAGATAATATACATTGTAGTTGGAAAGCACACTGTTCCACATATGTCAATTAGGTTAAGTTTGTCAATTATACTGTTTTGGTATTATACAGCTTTACTGGGTATATACTGTTTGTTCTAACAGTGAAAAGTGAGAAAAATGCTAAAATCCCCTACTTTGATTATGATTTGTCCACTCCATCTTTTATTTCTGTCAAATATATTTGAAACATTTTACAAAGGTAACTATTTAGGACTATAATATTTATTGGTAGACTAACCTTTTTATTATAAACTATTGTTCTTTCTGGCAATGTTTCTAATGTCTTTTCTGACACAATGAAGTAGGATCTTAAATTGATAAAATCATTTAGGAAAACCATGACTGTATATTAAAGCTGAATATATGCATAACCCACAACACAAATATTTTATTCCTAGGGATATACCCAACAGAATGCATTCATATGTGCACCAAAAGACATGAAGAATATTCAGGATAGCTTTTTTCATAATGGCCCCAATTTAAAATCTTGAAAATTCAAATGCCAATCAAAAATGGAATTGATAAATAAATTGTGTTATATTCATGCAATGACATTTTAAACAGCAATAACAATGAATGATCCACAGCAATATGGAACATGGATGAATCCTGCATATTCATGCTACATAATATTATTACATATTACATTCATTCATATTACCTGTGAAGTATAATGTTAAACAAAAAGAGCCAAGCACAAATTGTGTGATACTATTTACATAAAATTCCAGAACAGAGAAAATTACTTTATGGCTGTAGAAGACTCAGTGATGGTTATCTTTGGGAGAGGTGAATAGTGAATGGATGGGTCAAGAACTGGGCTTCTAAAATGCTGGTAATGTTCTATTTCCTAATCTGATTTGAGATCTGGTTAAATGAATATGCTTACTTTAAAAATTTCATCAAGTCAGGGATCCCTGGGTGGCGCAGCGGTTTGGTGCCTGCCTTTGGCCCAGGGCGCGATCCTGGAGACCCGGGATCGAATCCCACATCGGGCTCCCGCTGCATGGAGCCTGCTTCTCCCTCTGCCTGTGTTTCTGCCTCTCTCTCTCTCTCTCTGTGACTATCATAAAATAAAAAAAAAAAAAGAAAAAAATTCATCAAGTCATATGCTTTGGTTTCTGTATTTTTGGAATGTATGTCATACTTCATAAACAATGTATCTTTGTATTAGCAAATAAAAAAATTAAAATACCAAGTGACCAAGTATTAGAGAGAATACAGATGACTATGCTGATAAACTGCTGGTAAGAATTTAACTGATACAGGGACACCTGGGTGGCTCAGTGACTGAGCATCTGTCTTTGGCTCAGGGCATGATCCCAGGGTCCTGGGATCAAATCCCACATCAGTCTCCCCACTGGAAGCGTGCTTCTCCCTCTGTCTATGTCTCTGCCTCTCATGAATAAATAAATAAAATCCTTTAAAAAAATCTAACTGGTCAACCATATTGAAAACCAGTTCAGCATTATCTAGGAAATTTGAAGATACACATAAATCCTACGGCCTGGCAATTCCATTTGCATGTTTATACCCTAGGAAAGCATACCTATGTGTAGCAGAGTACTTATAAAAACATCTTTACAGCAGCCCTTTCAAATAAGTCAAAAACAGAAAACAACCAATGTTCAAATATATAGCTATAGTTTATGACCAAAAGGATAAGCCTAAGAAATAAAATATTGTTTAAAAAAGACAAGACTCAAAACAACATTACCCAGCACAATTTCATTTCTATAAAAAGACAAAACCTAACCATATTAGTCAGGAATGTGTAGATATATGATAAATGGGTTTTTGGGTTTTTTTTAACATCGAGAAAATACATTATCACCAAAGTCAGAATAAGGATTACCTAAAGAGGTGAAGAGAATAAGTTTATTCTGGGGGCAGGAAGAAGAGAGGCTTTTGGAGGGCTGACACAAGTTTTTGTTATATAGAAGTTCCGCTATATAATTCTTAAATTGTATGTCTATATAATTCTTAAATTGTATGTCTATATCTTAAGCACTTTTGTGGATGCATGCAATATTCAGTAATTTCTAACCAAGGAAAATTAATTAATAATAGCTATAAATTTTAGTGAAAACAAAAAAATGTGAAATGATAAATGCTACGAGATTTTGATCTTGAACATAATGTATCTTGTATGTACACAGGAAATGTGTTGGAAGGAAATCAATTAAAATATTGACGATGGTTATATCTGGGTGGTAGGAGTTTACTTTTGTTCTAACTTCCTATTTTCCAAATTCTTTAAAATAATCGTGTGTGTGTGTGTGTGTGTGTGTGTTTAAAAAGCAAAAGCTTAATACATTGGAGAAATTGAGATGTTTTCTCAATTAATATGTGAACACTATGTAGAAGGAAATGCTGGGATCTGTGGGCCTACCCCTAGGGCTTCCCATTCTTTCCTTTTTTTTTTTTTTTAAGATTTTATTTATTTATTCTTGAGAGACAGAGACACAGGCAGAAGGAGAAGCAGGCTCCAGGCAGGGAGCCCGTGGGACTCAATCCCGTGACTCCAGGATCACACCCCGGGCCAAAGGCAGGTGCTAAACCGCTGAGCCACCCAGGCTGCCCCCATTCTTTCCTTCAATGGAGATTTTTCCAGCTCACATAGATGATTCTGAGTTAAACAAGGCCATCCAGAAGAAGAAAAGCTTAAAAAGGAAACCCCTTCTATTTGGCTTCTTAAACAGCCATTCCTCCTCCTTCCTCTGGGGACCTATCTGAGAAAAGCAGAGCTGAGGAAGGAGAAAGGAATCACGAGATAGATGCCAGACCCTTCTTGCGGCGAAGACTGACCAGGGAAGTAGCAGCTCTGGACTCACACCTACCATCCACAGAGAGAGGTCGGAGTCTAGGCTGTACGGAGCATTTCTGTCTGAGCATGTCAGAAGGGGAGAGGTCTCTGCCATTCAAGACCAAAATCTTGTCCTGACCTCACACAACTAGTGGCACAACACATACTGCCACCCTGGCAACAGTTACAGACACCCTCCAACTGCACACACGGCGCCACAAAAAGTTACATGATCACACTCCCACGTCCTCACAAAGTCACAGACATCCAGGAGGCACAGTGTTGCTAACATTCAACCCAACCACACACGCCCCTCAGATAACTCATGGCCGCACAATCACGGATTCTGTACACTCCCACATCCTACACAAAATGTCATACAAAAGGAACGCACATACGAACAGACCCACGGTGGGGACAGTCACACCTATACCCATTGAGCTGCACAGTCAGAACCACAAACCTACAACAGGGATACCCAGCTACACCTGCAAACAGAGGTCCGCGCATGGTCAGTCGCAATGACACACCCACCACAGGGGCCGACAATCACACTCCCACACGGAGCGCCGCAGAGTCACCTAAGGTCACAGTCGCACACATGGAATCCTGTTCCTCTGGTCCGTTCCCCCAATCCGACCAACTCAAAGGCGCCGGAGACTCCAGATTCGCGCAGAAGGCCCCTTTAGGCTGCTCCTCCCCAACCCAGAGACGCACCTGAGCAGCCTGGTCGAGCCCCCAAGATTTAGGCCTCTCACCTTGTAATTCCCCTTGCCGGGAGGCCGAGAATCAAGCAGGCGAGTGAAGGAACGGCCCTGCTCCCCCGGGGGCCTCTGGGAAATGTAGTCAGGAAGCAGGTCGGCCCGGACAAGATGGCGCCTGGCGCTTCGATTTCCTGCTGGCGTATAAACCTAAGCTGAGCCGATATCCCTGCTCCCTTCTCCAGATCGCTGCAGAGGGTCTTCTAGATCCAAGAGCAGTCTCCGAGTCAGGTTCCCACAGGAGACATCCCACACTCCCTGGAGATAAGCTTCCTCCATGGGCCCTGCCAGTCCCCGGGAGCCTCATGTTTCCTAAGAAATAGAAAAATGTTGCTGAGTTCCCACGGAAGTTGTTTGCAGCCGCAAGAACTTCTGGGAAATGTAGTCTAGAGGTGGAAAGGGTAAGGCTACCTCCTGTGTGGATTGTTTCAGAGCAATGCACTGAGCTTGCCCACAGTGAAGAGTGGAGCTTCACCCAAGACTCTTTTAGTACTTGTATCTGTTAACCTTAAAGATAAAACTTTCAGGGACGCCTGGGTGGCTCAGCGGTTGAGTCCGTCTGCCTTCGGCTTAGGGTATGATCCTGGAGTTCTGGAATCGAGTCCCACATGGGGCTCCCTGCATGGAACCTGCTTCTCCCTCTGCCTGTGTCTCTGCCTCTCTCCCTCTGTCTCTCATGACTGAATAAATAAAAATCTTTAAAGAAAAAATAAAACTGTCAGTTATTTTACCACCAAAATGTGTTTGTTGGGAATAACAGAATTGCAATTTAGGAGGAAAAAGCTCTGCCAGAATACAAGTAACAGCAAACAAAGAAGAGCTCTTTCATGGAAAAGAAGGCGGGAGTTGGGAAGTTCTTTTGAAGGAAAACCATTGGAGAAACCTGGGGTGATCTTGGTTTATCATTGGCTGAACTGCAGGGGTAGTCAATTGATTGTAGGTGATGCTCTGTACATCCTTTACCTTTGGGGCCAGTAATTTACATTCTTTCCTATTGAGAGTCCTTAATTGACTACTCTTTCTGTAACTGACAGTCCCTCTTCTAGCCTCCCAGCTCTACTTTAGTGACATTTCCCCTTATTAATTTTCACATAACCCACTGAGACTACCCGGGACTGACTGACTAAATTGCCATTTTTGCCTTCCTCAATGGATGAGTGTGGAGCGGGATCTGGATGCTGCTCAGGGAATAGAGACCTGGGAGTCTCAGACCCAAATCCCACAAGAGAAACCGAAGACAAGTAACCCAAAAGCCTGGAAAGGGGCTGATAGCAGGTTGTCTGGAGTTTCAGGCTTTGTGTGTTGAAGATGATAGTGGTGACTCTGAGGATTGCCCCAATGTGTAAGGCAATATGTGAAATTGGAGGAGTTACCTCATTTTCTTCATCTGGAAACTAATAATAGCTGGAGTGCATGTTCTGGTGCCATCAATTTTACTTGACTTTTGGAGAATCAAAAAACAAACCAATTGGTCTGACATATAATTTCAAATATATATATATATGATTTTATGTATATATATATATATATATATATACATAAAATCATATCTTTGTTCCTTGCATATGGCTGTGGATCCCACACCCTCCCATGATTTTAGGGATCTTGTTTTCATGTGTAGAAATTCAGTCTCCTACAGCATTTGTCTTCGATGGTTTGATCCCTGACACCCCTAATTAGGGGCGGAAAAGGACTTATTAGTATGATCAATACAACAGCTTAGATATGAATCCTACCCCTTTAACCCCTTAGAAACAAAAGTTACAAAAGGGTACCAAAACAGAAAAATCCAGTTTCAGTGAGGTTCAAAGAAAAGCCAATGAGGGGGCACCTGGTTGGCTAAGTCAGTTGGGTGTGTCCACCTCTTGATTTCTGCCTAGGTCCTGAGGCTGGGCCCCACGCTCAGCCCACTCAGCTTGGGATTCTTTCTCTCACTCTTTCTCTGTCCCTGCCTACCTCCCCAAACTCGCTCTGTGTGTGTGTGTGTCACAAAAACCCAAAACCCCCCCAAAAAAAAAAAAAAGAAAAGAAAAGCCCATGAACTCCAAAATACATGTGAGTACTTCTCAATACAGTTGACATTAGGTAGAAAAATGTCAGAGAATGAGAGCTGGTAAGCAGAGGTGAGAAGTAGTGCTTAGAGGCTGGTAAAAACCTATTAGAAAAGACTCCAGAAATAGCAGGAGCAGGAGGCAGAGTGGAATCACTTCAATAAGACTAGTTTACTTTGAAGGGATTCACTTTGGAAAGGGAAATGCTGTGAAGAGAGTAGAGGTCAAGCAGAATGATATCAGGTGCAATGCATATGCCAAGATCAAGACAATCATGTTTAAGGGAAAATTGATTTAGAAAACTATAATATGTCTGTAAGATTAAATAAAACTTGAGTGTCCAGAGAAAATCTCAAGTTGCTTAAAGGAGAGAAACATCACCTAGTGTCAAGCTTATACTCAATATTTAGCACCACAAAACAGTGGAATAAAACTAAAAGGATAATTAAAGGAGTGAAAGCCAAAGATTTTCGTCTAGAAAATATTTTGTCTAGAGTTAAGCTGCAGTTTAAGTATAGGTATGATTTAGAGTCATCCTAAAATAAGTGAACTAACTTGACTTGACTCGAGAGGAAATATAAAGGTAATAATATAAAGGGTTTTTACTCATAGAAAAACCCAGAGGATAGCTATTAAAATGTGAAAATAGCTAAAAACAAACTAACTCCAAAGACACTAAAGTGTTGGCTGAGCATGGTATGAGTGGAAGAGGATGGAGGAAATAGAGTAGAATAAGTAGGACTTGATGGAAGAGAGTTTGCATGAGAATTCTTTCAGACAAGAAAGAAGAATATGGGGCAGCCCCAGTGGCTCAGCAGTTTAACGCTGCCTTCAGCCCAGGGCGTGATCCTGGAGACTCAGGATTGAGTCCCATGTCGGGCTCCCTGCATGGAGCCTGATTCTTGCTCTGCCTGTGTCTCTGCCTCTCTCTCATGAATAAATAAATAAAATATTTTTTAAAAAAGAAAGAAGAATATGGATGCAGCTATTACAGAGATGAAAGTAGAAAAGAAGTATGAGGAAGAGAGTAAAATGTGAAACAAAATGGCTGGTTATAAAGATTGTATGCTTCTGATTATTACAATCTGAGATGCAAATCCCAGATGTGTGCTCTATGCACAACATATTCTACATCATCAAAAATCTTGATAACAGTATATTTTTTTCAAGAGCATCATATGGATCAAGGGAAACATGTGTAAAGCTTATACAAAATAAGTCCTCAAAAACTACTAAATTAAACACTTCCAAACTCATTCTTTGAGGCCAATATCCAACATAGAGTTACTGTATGACCCAGTATTTCCACTCCTATACATACACCCAGGAACATTAGAAATGTATATTTATGCCAAAACTTCCACACAATTGTTCATTGCAGCATCATTCACAATAGCCAAAAGTGGAAACAACCCAAATGACTATAAATAGATGAATTGAAAAAGAAAATGTGGTATATTCACACAATAGAATATTATTTGGCAATAAAAATACATGCCACAACACAGATGATCCTTGAAAACATTATGCTAAGTGAAAAAGCCAGTCACAGAAGACCATTTCATTTATAAGAAATGTACAGAATAGGCAAATTTATAGATAAAGAGAGTAATTAGAGTTACTTAGGGCTGGCAGGGTTAGGACAAATGGGAGTGGTTGCTGTTAGAAAGTTTCTTTTGGGGGTGATAAAAATGTTCTTCAATTAGATAATGAGAATAGACGTACAGTTGAAGGGTTATAATTTTTCTTTCTTCTTTTTTTTTAAGATTCTATCCATTTATTCATGAAAGACACAGAGAGAGACAGAGAGAGGCAGAGGGAGAAGCAGGCTCCATGCAGGGAGCCCAACTTGGGACTCCATCCCTGGGCTCCAGGATCATGCCCTGGGCCGCAGGTGGCACTAAACCGCTGAGCCACCCTATAATTTTTCTTTATCCTTGAAAACAGCTGGGGTTTTATCCATTTGTTAAAATTATAGCCATTCTAGTGGCTGTGAAGTGATATATCATTGTAGTTTTGACTTGCTTTTCCCTGATCACTAATGATGTTTAGTGTCTTTTAATATAATTATTGGCCATCTTTTAATATAATTATTGGCCATTTACATACCTTCTTTGGAGATATGTCTATTCAGATCCTTTGTCATTTAAAAATGAGTTAGTTGCCTATTATCAAGTTGTCAGAGTGTATTTTAGATGGATATTCTTTAATAGATACATGACTAGGGATCCCTGGGTGGCACAGCGGTTTGGCGCCTGCCTTTGGCCCAGGGCACGATCCTGGAGACCTGGGATCGAATCCCACGTCGGGCTCCCGGTGCATGGAGCCTGCTTCTCCCTCAGCCTGTGTCTCTGCCTCTCTCTCTCTCTCTGTGTGTGTGTGTGTGACTATCATAAATAAATAAAAATGTAAAAAAATAGATACATGACTTGCAAATATTTTCTTTCCTCTGGTGTGATATCTTTCCCCTTCTTAGATGGTACCCTTTGAAGCACAGAATATTTAGTCATCTTGAAATGAAAATTATCTAATTCTTTGTAGGTCATGCTCTTGATGTTATATCTAAGAATCCTTTGGCGATCTGAGACTATGATGATTTGCTTCTGTGTTTTCTTCAGAGTGTTTTACAGAAGTTTTAGCTCCTTCTGTTAGGCAAAGTGAAATGAAACAGTCAGAAAAAGACAGAAACTGTATGAGCTCACTCAAATGTAGAATTTAAGAAAGAAAACAGATGAATATGTGGGAATGGGGGAAGAACAAAGAGAGTGAAACAAGCTGTAAGTGATTCAACAGTAGAGAACAAACAGGGTTATAGAAGTTGGTGAGTGGGGGTGGACTAGATGGGGGATGGGTATTAAGGAGAGCACTTGTGATGAGCACTGGGCGCTGTATGCAAGTGATGAATCACTGAATTCTACTCCAGATATCAATATTACACTGTATGTTAACTAACAAAATTTAAATTAAAAAAGTTTTAGCTCTTGAATTTAGCAGTTTGACCCATTTTGAGTTAATTTTTATAAATAATGAGAAATGAGGGCCCAACTTCATTCTTTGCAGGTGGATATGCTGTTGTTGCAGCATATTTGTTTAAAAGCCTACTCAAGGGGCACCTGGGTAGTTCAGTGGTTGAGTGTGTGCCTTTGGCTCAGGTCGTAATCCCAGGGTCCTTGGATCAAGTCCTGCATCTGGCTCCCACAGGGAGCCTGCTTCTCCCTCTGCCTATGTCTCTGCCTCT